TATACATATTTATAATAAATCTAATGACAAAAACAAATTTACCCTTTTAGAAAATTAATAGCAACAAAAATATTTTCTCTAAAATCAAAAAAGAATATGGAGGTGGATTGCAAAGAAAATTCCCAAAACTTCAAATTATAGACAGGAAATTGTATGATGAAATGCTTATATAAGAGAAAAATTAAATATGGCTGAAAGGAAAAAAAAACACAAAAATTACTTGCTGGAAAACTGAACTTCACGTTTGTGGAATTCAATGTAATTCGTCTGGAATCAATATATACTATGTTAACACAAGGAAAAAATGCTCTAAAAGCGACATGAATAGAATTCCGAAAAGTAAAATAAACAGCAGTGAAAGTTCCGCACTTTGAATTTCATAACCTTCTTTTTAAAATCACATTTTCTATCGTGGGTGGCATTGAAAGAAATCCCAAAGCACATACCTGTAATAACTAAGTCTGTCCAATTTCATCTGCCTCTCACCATCCCTCATTTCCAGAGGAATTCTGGGTAAGGATGCTCATCCGAATGCAAGAATTCGAATAACGGAATATGATATTCTATAGACATAGTATATCGGAGGTTCATAGGAATGAACAACGTATCTCTTATAGTCTATATTTATACTCTTTGAGTGAGTTCCATGGAAATTGGAAATGGAAAAGAAAAATTATGGAAGTTCATACAAATCGTATTTTTTTTTTAAATTTTTGTGGTGAAATTGGACTTTTGCTCTAGCATTTGATGTAAAAGTTGTATTTAAGACATTGTGATCAAATTTTAAAAATAAATACTCTCAAATAAGCTGTGATAGATGTGAAAAACTTTACTGTGATTAAATGCTAGTGGAATTACTTTTACAATTACTTATGAGTCATTTCAAGCAACAACAAAAAAAAAAAAACCAGTTGAGAAATTGAAATACTTTGAAGAGCATGAAATATTAAAGAAGGTATAATTGTGGTTGTGTTACGTGGGCGACGCTGCTCCAGGTGCGCCCTGGGTAATGAGAAAAGAGTAGCAGTTCTGGCATTCCTGTGGCCAATGGGACAATCCCCAAGTGCCCGCCATTAAAAAAAATATTTTAAGACTGCAGATGGGTTGAAATTGAAACCATTTTTAGATGAAATCTTAAGATAAAAATAATTGTAAAAGAGTATCACAAGAAATGAAACGTGGTCTTAATGTATATAACATTATTATACAAGTATTATACAATTAAATTACAATCTTATTTATACAACTATGACTTAAAAAGCAGATTTCACTTTTTTTAAAAATGTTTTAGGCATTATTTTTGTTTTATTAAGAATTAAGGTTTTAGTGTACACGAATTTAAGTGTGTGTTTATTATATTATGTATAGTTTTTAAATCTTTTCAGTGAATTCATATTTTTTGTTATCAATTGTATAAAAATTATTTGGAACATTAAGCATTGATTGTTCCATTACAGCCAAAATTAAACTTGCTAAATTTGATGTCCAGTGCGCAAAAAGATTGAAAGACAAACATCTTAATAGTTTTAATTTGATGATAGGATTTTCACGTATTTGTAACCAATCTAATCCATGTATCCGGAAGTAATTAAAACCAAAAAGTTTTGAAGATGATTATAAGACTCGTTTATTCAAAGAATAATTCTATGTAAAAATTATTTTCATAGCTAAATATAATTTTCGACTGTTAAATTCATTAATAGTATAAGAAAAATACAACTGTAAGGTATACTGACTTTTATAGACATTTGATCTGTGTAATTTTAAATAACGAAATCCAAAATTTGAAGAGATATAGATACTAAAAGATACGATTTCCTGAAAATGGCGAAAGTAACTTTAAGGGACCCTAACTTTCGACCCCTCTCTTGCCAAAAGTATTCGGAATTACTTTCTACATTGTGGCTACTCAATATATTTTGCAGGTAAAATATCCTAGTTCACCGTAAAGAATCCAAATCCATCCTTCAATCCATGCTTAGAGGAAGTAAGGTTTTTGCGTCTGATTTCCCAACTTAAGATATCGTCTGCACTAATTAATTGTCATAGTTAAAATTAGGTCTTCGAAAGATTTAGATTGTGCCCTAGTGTATAAAATTCTGATCACTACATCAAATTTTAGTAGTCAACTTTTAGTAGTCAACTTTTTTCATTGTCCACTGCAGATAATCAGTACCTTAGGTAATCTTACAATTGATAATCGGCTTAACTTACACATAGCAGATCGGTGAATCTGGCACCATACTAAGGTACTACAAAAAAGGTAAGGGGAAAATAAATTTGAGTGACATTGGCCCAATTTTCACCACTATTTTAATTTGCGTACTTTTTCATATCTAAAGCTATTATAATAGTTGTAATAACTGTAAATAATAAAAATTTTCGTATCGTGAACAAATGAAAAATACAAAAAATTAACTGAATCGGTCGAGTCATTTATGAGTAGTGAGTGAAAATTCAAAAAGGGCACGTTTATAAAGTTCCGGCTAACTAAAATATTTTTGAGCTTAGTGCATAATAATTCCTAAAATTTTGCTTAATGTTCTTGTTAATTTATTGATAACTACAGGAAAGAACTTCAGCAATAATTAGATTTTAAACCTCTCTTTTTTAATAGATACAAATAGTTTCTGAAAAAATTTCAAATTGGAATTTTAGTTTCGGAGTGCAAGGACAAAGATGCCAACTGCTCCGGATTCAATGGAATATTTTAAAAAACGGTAGAGAACTACTAAGATTGGCAGATTTTCGGCTAATTTTGCCAATTTTTTAAAAGGCTCAACCGAATAACAAAGGGGCATATCACATAAGCCTTTGAATTATTTCCAAGTAGTGGTGACAAAAAAGCTAAGTTTACAATTTTGATCCTTTTTTACATACATTCCATTAAACGATGTTCTGAACAAAATCTAAAATATAATAGCTCTTACAATTATCTTAATTTAATTTATAAAATTGGAACAATTCATATAAAAAAATCTAAAAAGTTCATTACGAGAATTTTTTGCTATTGTTTCTACATGATACGACTAAACATAATTAAAAGTAATACTAAGCAAAATGGATAAAATTTTAATTTTAATTTTTGAAGTTATTCAATTAAAAAATTTCAAAAAATTCAAAAATTATACAGGTATGAAGACATTTAGTTTATTTATTAACGATGTGAAACCTTTACTTCCGTTTATTAATGGAGTCAATAAAACAAATAAATAAATAATAATGATCATTATTCATAAATTAATAATAATAATAATAAAGAAATTGTATGCTGTATTCGTGACGTGTTTTATGAAAATTTTTAACATTATTGTATATTTTTCATATAATAAAAATGTCATTTTTTATTAATCAAATTAGGATTTAATATGGTATTAACATCTTAATTTTAACTTTTGTTCAGTGTTAGACATCTTAAAATGTTTGAACTTTAAGTGAGTATTTTTTCTTTCTAAATTATCTCAACGAAATGCATTATTTGACTAATTTAATTTCAGATAAAGTAGAATGAAAGACTCACTTGTGGTGCGTATGTAGCAACTAAGAATGCATTCGTCCTTCCAGGATGATCATAATCGTGCATAGCAGCTGCTGCGTATAGAGCCATCAATTCGAGCGCTGGGTAATTGGCACCCATCACACCATACGTAACATCCGCGGCAAAACTTGGCCTATGAACTGGAGGAGAGCTAGTGGAATCTAAAAAAAAAAAACAAAAATTTTTTTTATACATATGTTACCGTTAAAGTGTGAAATCCGTTATTTCATAGAATAACTAGGTATTTTGTCAGTTAAAGTAAATAAAATTATTGAATTCTAAGATTTAACTAAGTATTCTATAGAATACCTTCTGAAAATCTGGTACTCGAAAGTTATTTTAACCTGTTCTCGCTGCTTTTAGTCAGTTTTGAATCGCCTGTAGCAGCTTTGTAGCAACGTGTGTACGCATCATTGCATCCGTTGCTTTTAAACATAGAATTTCGACGGTGTATTTATTTTAGCGTTTTACATTTTGGATTATTTACAAATATTTTCATGCATATATATTTCAATTAATAATCCGCAATACATACAAAATGTATTTTAGAACTATTTTAACTATTTATGATAATTAATTTCTGAAATAACTTTGAAAGTGTTTATTTTTCACTTTAGCGGTTTATCATCAATTATTTCATAGAAAGTAACTAGTCATTTCATAATTAGTTGAAAGAATAACTAGGTGAAGTATAAAATTTTTCATCTATTGTATACTTTTACTCAATTGTCTAGTTATTTCATGAAATACGTAGCTATTCTATGAAATAACTGAATTATACATTTTAACGGTTACATATACACTGTAAAAAATAACTGTAAGTTCTGCAGAAAACAATATTTTTAGTGAAAAAAAAACCCTTTAAAAACTGCTTTAAATCGTTACCTGTGCCATGGAAAAAATTCCCATTTTTTACAGACAATTTGACTGCTTAAAGCAGTTTTTCATAAAACGTTTTTCTCTGTTTTTCACCTTAATCATAAACGGATTAAAACTGTCAATTCAAATTCCAGTTTTCACCATGCAGTTTTACTTACTGAAAGGTAACTTTATTTTTTTTTTTCAAATTATTTTATGATTGTTTTCTATATTTGCTCTTACTTTTCGAAAATTATTTTTTGATTTCGAACATCGTATAAATCGAAAGGTGATTCAACTTCATAGTCGAATTGATACTCTACCTGGTTATTATCTACCGTTAGATATAATACTTCGGAAAGTTAAATTGCCAGATATATTTATAAGGCTGGGCCAATATAGCTTTAAAACTTTTTACACTTAAATAGTATATCGGAGGNTATATATAATTAAAAAGTAAAGTATATATGAAAATCCAGGGTGTTATATACAAAAATAACTGTCTTGTTAATTCAATTCAATTATGACTTAATATAAAGTCATGCAATGAATTTATTTCAGCATCACCTCAAACTAAGCAAAATTTTCTTTCTGCAAAAATATTTTATTCACTTTTTCAGTTTAAATTTATCAACTTGTATCAATTTAAATTTATTTTAATTACGCCATAGCAAAGAATATTCAAATTGACGTCACACAATAAGGTAATGTTACAAAGTGACGTCAAGATGCTAAAAATAGCTTCTTGATAAGAAGACCCCACTGTAATAGGAAAGGCATCATTTTTACGTCTTATGGCGACAAATAAAGTTCAATACATCCATGTATCATACACGAGTTTTCTAAAATAAAGCAAACAGAAGTAAAAACTTTTCTATATTGACCTTTCTGAAAAAAAAATAATGTGTTCTCTCTCTTTTTTTACATCAAAAAGTAAAAAGCAGAGAAAAGAAGTACCAAAATAAATCCAAAGGTTGTATCAATAAGTAACTCCATGTTAAAAGATAAATTTCAAGAAACATAAAAAAACTTATATGATGTTTCTTCTTTCGGTGAACATTTATATTTTTATTCATTTTATCTTATTCTGAAGAAAGAAATATTGGAAACTTTTGTTTCTTTTGTATAATGTTCTATTTTTTTTCCAGGAAGATTTATATTGAAAATTCCATTTTCTTTAGCTCAACTCCTGCTGCTTAGTTATTTCAAAGCTAGATTTGTAGTAAATTTTTCATTCTCAGTATAGATGAAATGCATTTTTTTCTTATTATATGCAAATGAAACTTGAAGTTAACAATAATTTCTCTGGGTTGACTTCAAGGAATTATTTTTAAACATTTTAATCACTTTCTAATGGGCAAGTTTCAATGTTCATACATATTAGCATATTGGCATTAAATTTAATTAAATTTCCTACTCAAAGTAGAACTGCACCGAAACAAAGTGTACGGTCAAAACAACCAGAATATGGTAAAAATTACCGTTTTTCAGTCTCCATGGAAACACTAAAACGTTTAATTTTTACCACAGAGCTTTAGAAATGATTTTGATAAAATTGAAAATAAAATATCGTTTCATAATCTGTGATAAATATGGTAAATGTGATTAAATTTGGTAATTTTATTATGATACCTTGGAGCGTGGCCTGAAAACCATTTATTCTATAAGATTTCTCTTTCAGTTCAGGATTTTTTTTTTCTAAAAGTATGGTAATAATAGCTATAATTTTAAATATCAGAATTTCCAGAAAACTGTTACCATATGAATGGAAAAATTACCTAATGAATGGTTTAAATATCATATATTTTAAATTTATTAACTATAATGATGTTTTTTTTACCAGAAATATCATTAACATTCCATGTGCCAATTTAAGTTTTTCAATGTTTCAGAAAAAAGAAATAATTGAGAGCAAAGGAGCTATCATTCAGCATTAGAGTAAAAAAGTAAAAATTTGCGACTTCTGACAGGAAATCAATTTCTTTTAAAAAATTATGGATTTTGTGTAGGTTCTTGATAAGAAAACAAATTAGTTTTTAAATTTGGACTGCAGTTTGTAAGCTTAATTGATTTGATTGATTGGCACTTAAATATAAAAAAAAAACGAAAAATCTGAATATTTTTAATAATTTGTAGAATTAGAATCAGGAAGTTTTAATTTACATTATTATAACATTACAACTTCCTTCACTAGTGTTTCTTCATATTTAATTAAATCTATCTCATAAGCTTGTTACTGATAAAGTTATACGAAAAAGTTGATAAACGTCCACTTTAAAATTTGTACATTAAATGACAAGTTCTTCTTTACAACGCTGTTCAACAGAAAAGTTGGTTTAAGAGAACAGTGAATTTAAAAATATTTAAAAATAAAATATTATGCTATGATTTTTTAATTAAGCTACAATAAATACAGAAGTATGTTTCAATGAATTAGAAAATACATACAGTACAAAAACATTCCCTAATCAAGAGCAAGTACAAGAAAAATTAAAGAAAAATTAAATATATTTTGTGTTATTAAAGAAAAATACAAGAAAAATCAAATATATTTTGTCTTATTAAAATGACAACTGATTTTTTAAATCAAATACTTCGATAAACTTCGCTTTTAATATTAAACAACTTCTTTTTCTCTTTGGTGGAAAAAAAATTTAAGCTTGAAATGAAAAAAATAAGCTAGATTGTGCTTGCAATATTTAAAATATCATAAATGCATGAGTTTGATAAATTTACACCAACAATTTTTCATTGGTATGAAAAATAAACAATATTTTACAATATTTTTTTATACTTTTTTTTTCATAGAACCAAAGTAGTTCCATTGGTCAAAGCTTGGTATATCTCTGAAATTAAGTTTTATCAATTTATTATGTTGTCATTTTATATTAAGATACCGGGAACACAAAATTCCGTATGAAACATGAGAGTTAAAATTTTAATAAAATAGTATAAAATTTTTTTTTTTTAAAAAAATTTCATGAAGAGTTTATTTATAAAGCATATTAATTAATGTTAATTTTAATACCAAATTAAAGATAATAGTACACAGAGAAAAATAGTTTGGTAAAATTTCAGTATAATAATGAAATTTTTATTTGAAAAAAAAAAAAAAACAGTTCATCTTCAGTGACTTTACATGGCTATCTNTACGGTTTTTGAACTACTCATTTGGCAATTTTTCCGCTCATATGGTAATGGTTTACCTTAAATTCTGGTTCTCAAAATTATAATGCTTTTTACCAAATATTTAGTAAAAAATTCATAACAAAAAAGTAAATTTAACCGAATAAATTTTTTATGCCATTGCTCTAAGATATCATGATAAAATTACCATACTTTACGATTTTTACCAAATTTTATCATATATTATAAAATGTTATAGTTAATTTTACCAAGATCATTACTCGAGCACTTCGGTGAAAATTACCGATCTTTTTAGTGTTCCCATAGATCTAAAAAAAAACGGTAAGATTTGACATATTCTGGTAATTTTGACTACACTTTTTTTCTCAGTCTGAGCCATACACACTTTGGAAAAAGTTTGCTACAAAGAAGCTGAAAATTTCATAATATTCGCTTCCATAATTGAATTAAAATTTCATATTCACCATCTTATGATCTATAAAAATTTACTTAGAGAAAACAATATATTCTGTTAGCTACAAACATATAATAATACAAAAATATTTACATTATTATTACTTCCACCTTTTAATAACAAAATGTAAAATAACTGAAATAAATGAGAAACTTAATTTGAGCGGAAAAAAGGTTGGTTAAAGGAAATAAAAAATACCGCTATTTATTTTATAGCTACCTTAAGAAACGTCGTAAAATATATTTGATAAATTTTTTTTCCACCGTCATTTTCATCTCTAACAGCTGAACTAAAAGTAAAACAAGAGAAAACTTGATACAATGAATCTACTTTTGCCCTATGGTAATGGAATTAAACGTCTAAACCATCATTTCTATACTCCAGGGACATTACCTAATTTTAGAACCTGGCAAATGTTATTATGGTTGACGAAAAGAAATCTGGTTGATAAAACTAAAATATACTGTTTTTAAACCACTCATCTGGCAATTTTTCGGCTCACATGGTAATGGTTCACTTTAAATTCTGGTTTTCAAAATTACAATGCTTTTTACCAAACATTTAGTATTAAATTCAAAACAAAAAAGTAAATTTAGGCGAATAAATTTTTCTATGCCATTGCACTAAGATATCATGACCAAATTACCAAACTTTACCATTTTTACCAACTTTTATCATACATAATGTTATAGTTTATTCTAA